TATGTTAGAAAAATACAACGTTGTATTGACCTGCACGTGACGTTGCAGGTGAATACAAGGATTTATTTCCTCTACATTGATCTAAAAATAGATCGGGAAATTCCAAATTGATACAAATTGAATTGGTAAGCTATTTAAACGAATATTACTTTTTTTCAATTGAACAAAGATAAGAGAATATATATTTTCGGGTGAGGGTGGTAAGAGGGGATGCAGGGCCCCCCTCCAATACTATTATTTTAACAATAATTTTTACTTTTTGGCAGTCAATTTTCCCTAATAATACTCCTTCGTTTCGAAATCTATCCTATAAAAAAGACTTATTATTTTTTTTATGGCAACTAAAATTGATAAAAAACATTTCAAACTGATACGACTGGTCAAGTTTATTTACATTTTAAATCTACTTCTGTCTTGTATTTGGCTAGGACTTAATCAAATGCAAACAAATAATGAGCTGTATCATTTTGTCAGTGAATCATATAATAAAACAATTATTGCTGTTTTTTTCGGTCAATACAATGATTTAACCATCTTCAAAGTACAATATTCACCTCGCCCTTCGGGCTCGGTGAATATTGTACTCCTCAGATGGCTAAATCATTGTATACACCTCAAAAAACAGCAATAATTGTATAGTATTGACCTCAAAAAACAGCAATAATTGTATAGTATTGACCTCAAAAAAACAGCAATAATTGTACAGTATTCAAGATCAAAAGACCATAAACGAATACAAAATAGGAGCAGACCAAACACGGACCTCCAACACATCAGAGGTGGGATCAGGTGCCATGGAGGAGTATGCATCCCCTGCCGAACGGTCACACACGCCGTGTGCTCCTTGCCATGATCGGGAAATAACGAAAAAATTTGTCGTCAATTCAGTGTATAAATAATGGACTAACAATAAGTATGAAAAACGTCAGTCAGCATTTCATTCACTGATAAATTGTTTTTACTGACAAGGTCATTGTATCGACCATCTATAAAACTTAGAAATGATGACTTTAAACGAGACTGTTGATATTCTTGTTTCATCAACTTGTTTTTTAATAATTTACCTCGATTTAGAAATTGTTCATACGTAGAGCATGCTCTTGTGTGTCGAATCAACTGAGATATATAAGCTTCGTATGCAGGTGAGGAAGGTATATTGCTGCAAAGGTACGGTAAGTTCACGATAGAAAAGTTAAGGTCAGCAGGTTTATCATAGAGCTTGGTTGTTAGATTACTATGAACGTCTTTTTCAAGTAAAATATCCAGTTATGAAACAGATGTGTCAGACTCTGTGGTACCTTTTATCTCAAGCTCATCAGGATATATCGTTTTGACATAAGTATGGAAATTGCCATTGTTAACTGACAATATGTAGTCGATATATCTACATGTCGAGCTGAAGGCCACAGCAAGTGTTTTCTTCTTTTCACGCTTAAGATTTTGCACAAATTCTGCTTTATATGATTACAAAAATAGGTTTGCTAATAACAGGGCGCAATTGGTGGCCATGGGAATTCCAACAGATTGTTGGAAGAGCTGGTCTCCAAAACAACATAGATATTGTCAATCAGAAACTCAAGCGTCTTTTATGTCAACTTTAGAGTACTTGTGTGTACAATCAAAAATCAAATTTTAATGTTAACTTTCAAATTTTTAACTTTTTTATCAACCAAAGTGAGTTTGAGCTAACATTCATATATTTAATTAACGATATCAACTTGAGGAAATCTTTTATACGTAATAATCATAATTTCAAGTAGTTAAACCATTTGTAACAAATATATTCATAAGAAATTATTATGTGAGTAGTGCGTAGCCAATGCAAAAATGTTTTAATAACCTTTTTCCTAATAGCTGTTTTTAAAATTGCAAATCAATCCATAAAACCTCTATAAATTGAAATTGAATTTATGATCCTCAGATTTCCAAATCAAGTCCCCGACGAAAACACAGACCTCTAAAACATAAGAGATGGGAGAAGTACCCATCCCATTTTGTGTCACACCCTTCGTGTGCTCCTTATTATATTCGGCAAATGTGGAAAAAAAAATCAGTAGACAATTTATTGTGTTAATAATGGCCAAGCAATTTGTATGAAAACCCCTGACAGCATTTGCATGCATTCTACTTTTTGATATATTTTATTTGCCAGGAAGGTAATTGTATTGACCATACATGTAGGATTTGCGAAATGCTGGCTTTACTCGAGGCTTTTAATATCCTGGTCTCATCAACTTGTTTGTCGATACTTTTCCTCGTTAAAATATTGTAACAGTTGTAGGTCAAGCTCTTGTGTACCGAAGCAGCTGGGAGGCAAAAAACTCCGTATGTGGCTTATTATGGTACATAAATGAGTTGACAATAGAATTTTTTTTTTATTTATTTAAGTAATTGCAAAACATATACACCTCTCTCTCCCATTTCATACCTGTTGGATAAATACAAATACACACACATTAATAAACATCTAGTATACATACATAAGGATAGATACACTTCAATATACGTATAATAAACATGAACATACACTTACGCAATATGCAATGCATATTCAATCAGTAATTATATTAAGAGTTACTATTAGACACATTAAAAAGACATTTCCACTTGGACCATCTATTTTTGTAAAATATATTTCCTGGCAATTTTTCTTCTAAACAATAGTAATTATTTAAATATTTTAAGATATCATTAAAAACAATATTATTGTTTTTTCTTGATCGTTGAAATAAGTATTTCTTCACTAGTAGGATAATCAAATTAATTGCCATATGATCTTCTTCCAAATTACCAAAAATAACAGTTTTGACATCAAATACAATTTTTGTACCAGACTTTTGAAATATCTAATCTGACAATGCTAACCAAATCACAGAAACCTGTGGACAGTAGAAATATACATGCTTGATTGATCCTGGTTCTAAGTTACATATTGAACAAAGTGGTGATTTTTTTTAGACAGATATAGGTTCTTATTAGTACCTAATATTCTATGAATAATTCTAATTATAATAAGACTTTCCAAACGAATACATGTTTCAAAGCATCTCTTAGTATAGAAGTGAAAGAGAAGTAACTCAGTATGAAATTTTTTTCATCTTGAAATTAAAAAAAAATAGTTCGTGTATTTTTTTTTTCAAATTAGATTTCCGTAATCGTGCCTATATAAAAAAACAAAATTTTATTTGATATTCAACGCATCCTAATAAATTGTTCACTTAAAAATTATTACAGTAAATACAATCTGTCATTTGACACGCTGATATTTGAGTAAAGAAAATATTTCATTCACGTCCATGAATGCTACAGTATGATATATGTATACTAGAAAATGATATAAAAAACACCATTTTTAAAAATAAAATTCGTAACAACTTGTTTCCTAAGGTCTAAAACATTCACATACCTATCTATTTTTTACTGTCTTCGATAAACAGCGTTGCGTTAATGATTTCTGCAGAAAATGACTGATGATGTTCTTAGTACTGAGGAGTCTCCCCTGCGCCCCACCAGAACCAGTTTGTCTTCCACCGGGGGTGTCATTGCAGTCCCCAGAACCCCCCCCCTCCCCTCCCCGCCTTCCTATGTGCATATTTAACTTCTCTATGCACCTTCTTGCTGGTAGAGAACATTTATTCTTTAATATTCTCAAATTAATGCGCAGTGTACATTTTGACAGAGGAATGGTACATTTGTAGCAACGTTGAGCATAAAATCAAATTTTTTTTTCGTTCAAAAATTGAAAATTAAACCGTCATTCAATTAAAAGCATTTCATTTTTATTAATTCCATTCTAATATAAATGTTATGTATCATAGGAAGTATACAAGTGTAATAATAAGTGATTTACAAAACTGTATGTTCCATAGTCAATACAAACTCATGAAAGACATCAGAAAATCGTTTTGCTGGCAAGGTTTATGTCAAGTACAATAAATGATAAATTTGATTGGGAAGGGTTCTCAGTTGCAACTATCATCAGATTACATGTACATGATAGTATATATTTCAACTAAAAACAGAAAATAAATTTTAACAATTTTAACAAAATACAGCAAAAAATTAACTATTCAAATAAATGTATGGCACAATGTAAAGACATATATGCGTGCTCTTAACCTTGGTTGATCAAACAAGAGCTGTTCTAAACAATATTACTTGTATCACTCCTATCCTGCGTTATGATCAAAAAATCGCAAGCTTGAAATTTTCGAGAACTGCAGAATCCTAAAACTCTTACACTATGAATCAAAACAATCTATCTAGATACGCTGATCACAAAAAGTTTTTGCGTCACAACGCACAGGCACCTGTTTATTATTATTAATAAGTTTATTATTAGGTAGGTAGTATATATTTTATTAAAGGAAAAATAAATAACGACAGTTGCCTGTGCCACAATGATATGTTATACTGAGTACTCAGTTACAAAATTTCATGTCACAACAGCACACATTAATAATTTTTTGCTGATAAAGACAGTAAAGATTATAATAAAAATCATAATTTTCAATTGATTATATTGCAATAAATTTCTAACAAAAATTATTTGTCTCTATGTTTGCTAAGAATTGGTTTAAACAAAAAAATCTCTTGGTCAATTTCCATCTCAACAGGCTTTAAAAAAATGTCAACACATTATAATGGTAATTAATTACAAGTAAAATGTATATATTTAGATGTATACATTATTTCTCTTCAACTGATGAGGATATAAGGTAATAAAAAAAGGCCGGTGCATTGAATATACTGTTGTCTTTTTTAACATCTTATTAATATACATCTATTTGCAACATTCAGCATATTTTTTATTCATGCCAATGGCATGCTTTACAATTATAAAATATTAGAATGCGAGATAAATTGGGACAAATTCTATTTTACAAAATTATTATAAAAAAATATAAAAATATATAAATAATTGCAAAATAAATATTTATTCAATATAAAAACATAACATTCCAATTAACTATCAACAGTGTGTTATATATTTAAGAGTATTTAATATGAAATAAATTGCAAAACACCTTGTTTAATTAATTTATATACATGTAGACTAGACTATACTGTATATATATTTTGCAAGAATAAATGCATATATTTTTTTTTAATTATTCAGACATGAATCTGCATGTATTGCAAATTATATTGAAAACATTCATGTACCAATATACATGGTATAGAAAGAAAAACAGATCTTCTCAAATCTTCCTTGTGTTTTTTAGTACATAATTCCCGATTTTCTTAGCATTGAGACCAATGATTGTTTTTGAAAAATTTCATTTAACTTTAAAATATGTGCCTTGCAATCTATTGATTTTTTTTTTTCATTTTACACACATTTGAAAACTCACTGGATAAATATCAACCAAAAAAAAACATAAAAGAGGATAATAGAGGAAGTGAAAGGTTACTGTTGAGGCATTATTGAGTTCAACGTGAGAACTAGTACTATACAAGAGAGTACAAGAAAAATTGAAAGGAGTCTTAGAAGGCATAATCAAGGTCAAGGTGCAAACTCCACAAGAGGGTACCAGAAGAAATTAAAGGTCACAGTGATAGCATTATTGAGTTCCCTCTTCACTTTTTCCTCTACGCTTTCTTCTTCCAGATCCACCATGATATTCAGCTGCCTGCTGGTACATGTAATATGTCTTAGCACCAGTTTGGGGTTCCTTGTGCCCAGGCCCTTAATCAGTGTTCCCGTGAACTCTACCTCGTCGTTAACCTGCAAAGCTGACAAGGTCTCTCTGAATGAATGACCAGCATCTAACTCTGCTATTACATACCTTGGCATTGAAATATAAACTTCAAATGTGTACTTGTCAAGATTCCTTAAATGACATTCGTGACCAAGATCATCCATAGTTCGACAGAGTTTGCGGTCCGATTCTGTTTTGTTTACATCGTCACAATCTCCGAATTTTTGTCCATATAAACAACGAATTTCATTTGCAATAAAACCAGGAAATGCACTTAGGAGTGGTTCAATATTATTTGCCACACTCTTAATTTCAGCACGTGAAAATTTTCCATTCCAGGTAACTTTTTGTCCTTCAAGGTGTAGACATTTAAAGCTTTTGTCAAGTTCATTGTCTCCACAAAAGTCCATATATTCTGTGAAAGACATATTAAATGGTTTTGGGGTTTTTGCTGTAGGAAGACGGATGAAAATTAAAGGAAGTATAGCCAGAACACCAAATACAACCATAATGGCAATCTTTACAGGTTTAATTTTACTTTCTAACTTCTTTCCGACAAAGAGTTTCGTCTGGGTCATCAACAGTGGAACTGCAGCAAAGATCAAAGTGATCAAAAGCTTTCCAAAGATTTGGGTATGAAGGAGACTGTAAAACATATAGATGATGCCTCCAGCAATGATCAACAAGGCAAGGGGAATCAGAAATGGCAAGAGGAAATAGCCCAATGTGGCTCTTATCAAACCTTTCCAAGAAGAAAATGGAAAGAAACTTAGCATGAGGTTGAACCAAAAGTAGCAGACAAGATGTGGAATGAGGACTCTGTACACACCTTTCCAGGACTTCTGGGCAGCCATTATAACAAAGATAAGAGGAATCAGCAGAAAAGCCAGGGAAGGGATCCCAAAATGGATCTTAAACCCTGATCCACAATTAATTGTAAATATTGCATCTGTAAATATATGAAGAAGTTTGGTGAAAAATGGTATCTGTGGGAAATGATGAAAGAAAGTTGGTAAGGCAGAGAGAAGATTACAAAAGAGAGACAACAATGTCAGTAAATCATAATGATCACTCAGGGCAACAAAGCAAATGGCTGAGAGAACCCCACAAAGAACACAGATTTCAGAACAAGGGATGTAACTCTTGTTTGCTAGTGAAAAACTAACCACCATTAGGGGTAGAGCACCGAAGAAGACTAAATAAGGAGTCAGCGAGTTCCATGTAAACTGAGACGTTGTCTGCTCTACATCAACGCCAACGTCATACGTCTTCAGAACATCTGCAAGCTTGCTTGCTTCCTTCAATTTCCTTTTCTTGTAGAACATCTGAAGGGTCGTGACCCCCATGACCCCAAAGGTGAGGTAGAATACGACAAGGGGGACAACCTGGAAGATGAGGGCAGCACTGATGAAGCTGTAGAGGAAGAAGACGGAGAGGAGATAAATCTGATTGGTGGGGATCATCTTCATCACAAAGTCCAGCCCTTCCTTAGAAACATACTCTAATCCAGTCTCATACAGGGCCACTGCTGTCTCTTTCGGATATCGGGTTACCTGGAGGTAAGGGAAAAAGCATTTTAAATAATTATTTTGAAAAGTATCACATGAATTAAAGGGTCAGCACGATTATCAAATTCTGTATACAGAGAAATTTTTGCCCTTTTTGGCCATACTCTCTGATTGGCAAATTACCATACCTTTTCATACAGGCCAGCATGCTTGTACTCCACTGAGCCTTCACCCATTTCATCAGGAGATAGAGTTATCTGCCCTTGAATTTTCTTAGACAGGACTTTGACAAATTCTGTTTCACTAATTGTATCACCAATCTTCTTTCCTGAAAATGGACAAGTTTTATCAATTTTAAGTACCTTCGTTAATCATCTCCATTTTTGATGCTGTTTCTACAAATCATTATTAAAAATTGAATTCAAGCAATACAAGTGCCTCTGTGTTGGTGCATGCGAAATTTCTATGTAAAATCAGTTGACATGAGAGGAAATGACACAAAATATATAGCGGTTTATTACTGCTCTTGTTATTAGAGGGGAGAAGGGGTGGTCTTGAAGTGAAACATGCGCCATGGAATCATTTTAGTTAATGAGTCAATGTTCATGAGCTAACAAAAGTCTTAGCATTTTTCTTGGATGACATGTTTATATGGCAGATCAATGATTTTATATGTTTCCAAACTAAACATTTGTAAGGATATAAATTTGTGGGTATAAGTGTGACCCACAAAATCCACAAACATTGGTCCCCACGTACAACAATGATTCCACAGAGTACATCTTTGTTTTATGATCTCTTCACAAATACCTGCAGCCAGGAGTAGTTTTTCCTCCAGTTTATCTCCCCCTGCGAGTTTTTTGACGGATTCTATGTAATCAGCTCGAGACAGAACTTCCCTCTGAGTGCCGTTGATGGCTCGGAACATGTTTTTGGCAGCTCGCCGGATCTTTTTCTCGACATCTGAGGTTTCTAGGCACCAGTCTATTACCTCTCTGTTGGAGTCATCCACACCTGGAATGAGTTCAATATTATTTTACTTTTCGTGAAAATTTAAACATCAATGTTATCGAACCTGTTTTGGGAAAGAAAATGATGGTAGCATGTTGCATTGGACAGTAAATGCAAAAAATATCATGAAAATTAAATTCTTAGGAGAAAAATTTTATCTAAATATCTCAAACATATTAAAATATTGGGCCTTCTATTATAGTTACAAACATTGGGGGTTCTATTTGTCCAGTCATCCAGCATTTATCATATTGTACAGTACGACTACATAATATATAATTAAAATATATCTTTTTTGTAAGTTAAAAGATATATGTATATGTTCACACAATTGATTCAATTGATATCTGTATAAAATCAGTATACTTTACCAGGTAAAATGTGAATGCAAACTTAACACCTATAAATATTTAACCCTCATCATGATACAGTTTTTGGCACAAAGATTAAAGCTTTCCATATTTTAATACCTGTTTTTGTTTGGAGACATTTGTTCAGGAGTTCATCCGCTTTCTCATTTCCCTGTTTGGAGGCCTCTATCAGCCACGTGACGGCTATTTTCCCGTATTTTTGCCTATCCTCCTCGGAACCTGAGTCAGCCAGCTTTAGATAGTGCTCTCCTAAGAGCACCTGACTGGCTTCATCCCCATCTGAAGCCAGCTCTTCCCATTTCTTAATGTTTTCCACACTCCCTAGAAATTGCAAGGTGAATAATTTTACACTGTTGATGCATTAAATACCTATATAATAAATTTAAGTTTGTTTTTTTTTTTTTACACATAAGATACCGTAAAAGTGGAAATTTTAGCAAGACGCAAATTCACAGGTACTTGGGTCTTGGTTTATAAATATGTATGTAGCTTATTCATCTGTGAAAATAAATTAAAGTATATATCAATAAGGTGCATACATATTTATAAATTTATATAAACCAAGACCCCAGTACCTGAGCTATGCTCAAATTTAGTTTTGTGTATTTTAAGTTCATTTAAAGTAAATCAAACATAAGTTAAACTGCATTAAATAGCAAAATTAAGCTACTCCTGGTACTGGTAGCTAAACAAAGATACGTTGGTCTAGCTCTGTGCCTAAACTTGCTGGATTTTATACCTGATGAATCGCCTTCCGCCATTTTTGCTTTTTTGTGATCACATGACTTTAAAGTAGGGCTTTAAATAACTTTTTTTCATCACATGACGACTGTCAAGGTGTGGATCCAATACGCCCCCACTCAGTCGCCCTTTGGTGAAAGATTGGTGGATCCAAAAAAAAAAAAAATGGATACAGCAGTAAACATGGAGAAGAAAATAAATACGTAGTGTAATACTATAAATATTTTACACAATGAATAGTTTGTTTTGCTTTGTTTTGTTTTTTCCCACATTTTTTTAAATAGAAAATTTATCGATCATACATCGCCAGTCTAGAAGTGAAAAATAAAAATAGAAACAAGATCACTATGCATTCGGAACACTACTTCACGTTACCATACACCGAGAAGAAAAAGTCCTTATTACGAACGATCGATAACGTAAGGGAATTCCACAAAATATTTGGCAAGCAAGAACAGGCAATATACAGTCTATATATACACACACAAACGCCGGCCGACGATCAGTCGAACGTCTGTAACTCAGCAATATTCACTTTCTGTTATCATTATTTCCGTACTTCATTTAATAGCAAGGTAAGTAAAATATGTGACCTATTTAAGGGGGCGTGCCCCTGTGCATATTTAACGTTATGTGTTATTTTGCTCGATCTGCATTTCTTTCGATATTGATCAAAAGGGTATGTAAAATATACAGACGCGGTCGCTATGTATTCGTTTTTTTTTTCACAATTGTTAAATAGTCGACGAATTTATATGCATGCATGCACATGTCCATAAGCCTTGGATAAAAGGGGAAGTATTAAAAATGAAGCATTATCTACCTAAACATGCTGAATATGTTACAAAGCAGCTTTAAATTGTAATTAATAAATTACTTGAATTTATTTATAGTGAAACTGTCTTATAAACATTAAACCAACCTTGCAACTTATTTATGTTGACATTCAAGTTATATGCTTGAGAAAGCAGAGAGTTACTGTTCTGCAGGTAATCTGAATATAGACCATGATATATATAGGTATGCTGATGATTTAATCCATTGGTGGATGCAGAGGGGGGGGGGGTTCCGGGGGTTGGACCCCCCCTTTATTTTTTGCCAAGTGGAGAATGAGAGAGAAAGAAGGGGGATAAAACGTTTCCCGAGAATAAGTATTGTACGTCTAACTTAAATATGTATTGAATAGATAGATTCTCACGCATTTAGTTTTTTCCATTCACCTTCACTATTACTTTTTATGAGTGAATGGTTGAAAATATTCTACTTATTTTTATATATCTTATATATGATATGTAACATGCGAGGTTAAATTTGATATTAGATTCCCGCGATCATAATTTGGCTGTGTTGGCTATATACAAGAAGGTGCCATTTTTTAAACTAAATCTTATAAAGGAACTAAAATTTAATTCATTGTTTTATACCCAACCCGAAAAGGATTTTCAAATTCTTTAAAAAAATTCATTCTACTCTTCGGAAATGCTGCAAATCCATTCAATTATAAGGCTTCAGTAGTTTTTAAATGTGTTGATTTTTTTTATACGGGCTGGGGGTACCTTTTCAAAGAAAAAAGGACGTAGAACAAAGATATTATTTTCCACAATCTTATGTTTTTCCATACATGTGTGTGTGAATCTTTGCCTGAGAGTGTGTAAGGGGGGGGGGGGGGGGGGGGGTAGAGGGACACAACCCTGGACCCCCTTTCAAAAATTGCTGGATCCGCCCCTGTAATCTTGCTATCAAGCACTTCGAATGGTTTACAATCAAAACTTGATATATTGGACAAATATTGTAATGACTGGTGTCTAAATGTTAACTTATCCAAGACAAAAATTATGATTTTTAACAGAGCTGGAAAAAAAATATCAGAAAATTTTTCTTTTCAAAATAAGTTGATTGAATGACTGTTCAACAATACAAATATCTTGGTATTTACTTTTGTAACTCAGGTTCTTTTACCTTTGCTCAAAATGAATTATATAAGAAGGCCTTGAAAGCATGTTCATCGTCTCAAGCCACGGGTCGGACATCCTCGCAAGCCAGGGGTCCTGAGTCAACAAGTTGCCGTTGTTAGATGTATCTCTTTAGTACCCAGTCCATCGTCGAACTCAAGCCAATCAGTTCGGAGTCCGCTTATACAGCTCTCTCCCAGAATGAGAGAGGATCGTACATTTTGTCCTGGTTGCGACGAAGGGTCCAGCTGCTCCAGCAGTAACGCCAATTTCATGATAACGTCAAATATATGGATTTTGAATTGTTATCACATGTCACAGGTACTTGTGGACAGGACCCCCCCCCCCCCCCCCCACACACACACACACTATACATCCCCGGGTCAAAAGAATGTTTTCCATTAATTATTCTTCTAGTACATATTTACAATATATTCAATATGAAAAATCCAAAAAGTAACGTAGAGAGCTATATTAATACGGACTCCGGACCGTGGCTTGAGACGATGCGTGAATAAGGATTTTCATTTAATAAAAGTGGTTTTCCACTTCTTGTAGTGTCTCCAAAATTTTAGACACCGTTGAAAAATCGTATACACCAATAACATATACATTTCATTGGATACCACAAACTTTGACCTTTAGACCTTGGAGTTTGCCCTACATATACTTTAAAAAATACTTAAACCTTGGCCATTACTTTTGAACGGTAAGGGCTAGGGTTTTCATGCTTCATATATGTAATCTTTGTGACAAGATCTTTCATTGGATACCAACAACTTTGACACTTTGACCTTGACCTTAGAGTTTGGCCAACTTTAAAAAAACGTATACATGTACCTTGGCTATAACTTTTGAACGTAATTGCTAGGACTTTCATGCTTCACATATGTAACCCTTCTGACAAGACTTTTTTATTAGATACCAACAACTTTGACCCTTTGACCTTGGAGTTTGACTACTTTTAAAAACTTTTACATTGGCCATAACTTTTGAACGGTAAGGACCAGGGCTTTCATACTTCACACATTTAATCCTTGATTTCTTTCAGACATGCCTCCCAAGAGAAAAGCACCCGCTAAGGCCAAGGCCGGAGGAAAGAAGGCCAAGGCCAATCCCCCAGAAGAGGAAGACAAGCCCCAAACCACACAGGACGTCATCGCTAAACTTAAGGCCTCAGAAAAAAAATCTGGCTCCAAGAAGAAGAGAAAAGTCGACGCCTTTGTGCCCCAGGCTGCCAGTTATGAGGTGATTCAACAGTAATGGATATTAAAAAAAGGGGGGGGGGTCCGCTGGGCCTAGGATTCACGGAGTTATAAAAACATTTAATTGATAAAATGACGTAAAATAAATAGATTAAGATACTTGTAGGCACCGGCACCTGACGATCGAATGATTGGTATAACCCTCTCCCGGTCCATCTAAGATTTTGTAGACACCATGATCACTATACAAACAAAATTACACAAACTCCTAGCCTTTCATACCAATGCTTTATTATTTGATATCTTGTTTTAAGACATTTTGTTAATTTTTAGAGATTGCCCTTTTACCATATTTACGGTACAGAATATGAAAATAGGAAATAATCACGTGCGTGTATTTTGTCATCATGTTAAAGCATTTTTAAAAAAGTTCGGGGGTGGGTGGGGTTGTGTTAAATCCACAGGCACTTGACGTTACTTATTTTTCTTACTAAAAATTAACCCTTTTACGTAATATTATTAGGTAGATACACAACAACTGTACCACTGGTAAATTAATTAGCAATCCATCATTTTGGATAAAAAATTATACTCTGTAGAAACATATTAGCTTAAAAGTGAGTGAACAATGTATCATTTCATGAGCTTAACGTACCATATGATGCTTTTTTAATAATAAATATAAATGGATATTGTTAATTTTAAGTTTATCGTGGAGGAGAAGTCTACTTTCCTTATTTTCTTTTTTTTTCCAAATACTTATATATCCGAGGGGACATTGAATCTAACGGACACAAATGAAAATTTGCCATCCATTTTTCACCCATGTGGTGGGACACAGTTGACAAATTTACCATATTTTGTCAATTTTCTGAGATCTTGATCTTAACAGGCACGTAGCAACGGGGGGGGGGGGGGTCCCCAAAAGTACTTACACTATAGGAAATGTTCATTGAAAGGCTGATCCCCCCATAACGTTTTGCGATATAAGGAAAATGTAGTATTATATAGTAAAAAAAAATTATATTCTTTGAATTTCCAGGTATATGAGGATTATGATTGTATGCTGAACCAAACGAACATCGGTCATAACAACAACAAATATTACGTCATTCAGGTCCTGAATAGACTTGGCAATTTTTATGCCTGGAATCGTTGGGGGCGAGTGGTAAGTCATTTACAGTCTGGATTTTCAGTGTTAGTGTGTGTGTTTGTTTGTGTGTTGGGTGGGGGTGCTACTTAAGGTATAAAAAACCCACGCAACTGAATTGTGTGATACTGATCTATGAACTGATTAAAAAACTGCAAATCATTGGACAATTGGAAATAAATAGTAATAATAAATTGTATGAATTTTGTAATAATTTATCGAGAGTGACTATTTCAAAGCATGTGCTATTCACGCAGGGTGAGAGCGGTGCCAATGCAATGAAAGGCCCATTTAGTACAGCAGACGGTGCCATCAAGGATTTCACCAAAAAGTTCCAGGACAAGACCAGAAACAAGTGGGAGAATAGGGACTCCTTTACCCCGATGAAAGGGAAATACACGATGATTGAAATGTCTTTGGAGGATGAGGACGAAGCAGATGCCCCCGCTGAAGTAATTTTTTTTTAAAAAATGTAAAGCAATTACGTTTGAAGCAAAATTTTAGTTTGGTGAGGGGTGCATAGTTGATGCATGGGATGGGTACAACCTAATGATGTTTGACAAGATCTATATGTATGATTTTTTTTTATTTGTCTCTAGGTTAAAACTAAGCCTAAAGGGCCGGCAATGAAATGTACACTCGACGCACCCACCCAGTCCCTTCTGAGGCTCATCTTTGACCATGATATGTTTAAGGATGCCATGAAGAGTTTTGATATTGGTAAGTTTCATAGTTTTTTTTTTTAATTTAAAAATTGAGATATGTATATGTACATGAATATGAAGTTGAGAAAACGGAAATCGCTTTTTTCTTAATAGAAATATGCAT